ATAACAGAGGAATTAAGAAAAACTTATCCGAAAATTACATATTACAGGACAAAATATTAAGCATGTTTTAGCAGATGAACTAAAAAAACTTCAGCATACTAAAAATTATATGAAAAATATTTTACATATTCCGGAAAACTTAAGCATTTTTTGGTATGAAGTTTTTCCAAAAAATATTAATATAATATATAGTGCAGGAGGAAAACTTCAGCTCGTTTTGCTGAAGTTTTTAAAGATTAACTAAAAAACTTCAGCACTTTATGCTGAAGCTTTTGTGCAATATGTAATTTTAATTTATGTTTTATTTTTTACCCAGTGCAGGAGGAAAACTTCAGCTCGTTCTGCTGAAGTTTTTAAAGATGAACTAAAAAACTTCAGCATGGAATGCTGAAGTTTTTGTTCAATATTAAATTTTAATTTATGTTTTATTTTTACCCAGTGTAGGAGGAAAACTTCAGCTTGTTCTGCTGAAGTTTTTAAAGATTAACTAAAAAGCTTCAGCATCCCATGCTGAAGTTTTTGTGCAATATTAAATTTTATTTTATGTTTTATTTTTACCCAGCGTAGGAGAAAAACTTAAGCTCGTTCTGCTGAAGTTTTTATAGACTAACTAAAAAACTTCAGCACTTTATGCCGAAGTTTTTGTGCAATATGTAATTTTAATTTCTGTTTTATTTTTTACCAGTGGAGTAGGAAAACTTCAGCTCGTTTTGCTGAAGTTTTTAAAGATGAACTTAAAAACTTCAGCATCCCATGCAGCTATGTTTCAGCTCAGTGCAATAGTTTTTGTGCAATATTAAATTTTAATTTATATTTTATTTTTACCCAGTGCAGCTATGTTTCAGCTCGTTTTCCTGAAGTTTTTACATATGAACTAAATAACTTCAGCTTGATTACACTACAAGACAAATACTTCAGCATATGTAAAAACTCAGCTTGTTTAGCAAATAAACCAAAAATTTCCGCATATTATGCAGTGGAAAACTTCAGCATATTTGAATTTGTCGGATTAAAATGTTAGAATTCAACGTGAAACAGATTTAGAATGCAAATTTAGCATATCAGTGAAGAGTTCATGTTTCATGCGTCAAACAACATCAATCAATCAATCAGAAAACATATATCATGAAATCAATCAGTTTCAAAAACTATTTTGAATTCTGAAGATGAATTTGAATACAATGTATTTTCTAATTTTGAATTTGGAATTTGAATCTGGTTTGCGAGAGGCGGTCTGAGGAGAGACGGAGCGATGGAGGAGAACCGTAAATTGATTTATGCATGATGCATCTTTTATATGTTTTGAAAGGGGTATAATGGTCATATTATTACGGGTTTTTTGTTAGTTGGCTACGAAATCAATAGTTTTTAAAAATAAAAGGTGGGATAAATATAGGATATGGCGACAATTCTCCCTATTTTTCTTTGACGGAACTTTTGGTAAAAGCTCTAGTCTTCAGAAGAAACCAAGTTACATCTGCCTTTTAGACTTTAGTGTATTCTATTTTTTCATCTAAATTTTACTAAATAAATAAATAGATAGCGCAATATAGGTGAGAAATTTAAAACAAATTCTCTGGGTGGGCCGGGTAATGTGGTGAGAAAATAAGTGGGCCGTTGAGAATTTTTTGGGGTTTGGCCGAGTAGAAATGGCGTGGGGTAGCCACTGTTTAAGCTGGTATTTACTTTTTATCCAGCATTTTTAATGCTTAGCAATAGTAGCCACTAGTCTATTAAAATTAATATAAAAAGACTGTGTTACCCTTTCCTCCCCAAACGGAAATCCAACTACTGAGGTGACACTATCTAAGCAATGCTCAACTCAAGAAACAAAAACAAAGAGCCCAGGTAATTTAAGACCATTGTTTTGTGTGTATCAATATAATATTTTCTTTAGGTTTTAATTTGCGCTTGTTCACTACTGTTATGATTGACAACGATGCTTTTGATTTTGAAAACAGCTGCTAATACAAAGATTGCGGATTCTGAGTCAAATGATGATAGTGACGAAGAAGTTCCTTATGATATTGATCCAGAGATAGAAATAGTCTCGCAAAATGTTGAACAGAAAACTCCTTCAGTCACTTCAGATGAAATGCAAGTACTTGGTACCAAGGAAATGTAGTCTTGAAGTCCTAAAGTTAAGTTCAATAGTTAAGGACACAAGTTCAAAAGTTAAGGACAGGCAGTTCTTAACTTACAGTTACAAGTTCTAAAGTTAAGGACAGGCAGTCCTTAACTTATAGTTACAAGTTCAAAAGTTAAGGACAGGCAGTCCTTAACTTACAGTTACAAGTTCAAAAGTTAAGGACAGACAGTTCTTAACTTACAGTTACACGTTCAAAAGTTAAGGACAAGCAGTCCTTAACTTACAGTTACAAGTTCAAAAGTTAAGGACAATAGGTCCTTAACTTTGAGTTACAAGTTCAAAAGTTAAGGACGCTTGGTCTTGAAGTTTGAGTTCCAAGTTCAAAAGTTAAGGACATGTAGCCTTGAAGTCCTGAACTTAGAGTTCCAAGTTCAAAAGTTAAGTACATGTAGTCCTGAAGTCCTGAACTTAGAGTTACAGGTTCAAAAGTTAAGGTCATGTAGTCCTGAAGTCCTGAACTTAGAGTTCCAAGTTCAAAAGTTAAGGACATGTAGTCCTGAATTCTTGAAGTTAAGGACATGAACATAAGGGTATTTTCGTCCGGGCAGTTAAAGTTTATTAAAGCAGTGGCTAAAGACTAAAAACATTTTAAACGGTGGCTTAAAAGTAAATACATATGTTATTAGTGGCCAACCGTGCACTTCCCCCTTTGGCCGACTGACTCCATTTAGTTACAGTTCGGATCCTCTGATTCGTTCCTAGTTCTCTCTCGTTCTACTTTAAACTATTGTCAAGGAAATTTTTTTCATTGAGTCTTTGTATAATTGAAAAAATAAAGAGAAATGCATATCTTTAGCTGACCGAAAAAATATAATCTATAAGTTTTGTATATATATGTATTGTATACAAGTAATATACATATTTTATATACACTTTTTGGGTAGTGAATGAAATTAATTTTGACGGCAATTTTGTGTTTGTCCAAAAATAAATGATATAAAACATGTTCAATTTTATGAACATAAAAGTTTTACCTGTACAAATTTATAAAACCGAGCTTGATAGAATCTCTCTTCATTTAATATGTCTACATTTAACTCAAGAGTATATATTTTATTTTTAAGGCGGATAATTGAGATTGAATAATTTAATGTGATATTGGATTCTCATATTAGCTTTCGCTTCTACTTTTTTCTAATTCCAGAACTCAAAGCAATTGAAAGAGATAGAAGGCTGAAAGTAAATTTAGTTAATGATAACGGAGAGGTGATTTAACTTTTCGTTCGTTTAGATGATATTAATTTTATATATTTAAAGCATACAATAATTTTAGATGAAATAAAGCTTATCAATGATTTTAGATGCTAGGAATTGAGGTAGTTTGATTGGTGATGTTATAAATTTAAGGAGAAAATGACACCGAAAGTGAAAAGTGTAATGCCTGCTAGTGCACCTCTGATCAATATAGAGCTGGACGTTTGGACCTTTTCTTGTGGTTTCTTTTCATTTCACTTAATTTTGGCTACTTTTTAATTTTCAACATTTTTACTAGCGTGTGGCCAAAAGGGAGCCTTGGCGTAATTGGTAAAGTTGCTTTCATGTGACCACGAGGTCACGGGTTCAAACCGTGGAAACAACGGCCTCTTACAGAAATACAAGGGTAATGCTGTGTACAATAGACCCTTGTAGTCTGGCCCTTCCCCGGACCCCGCGCATAACGGAAGCTTGGTGCACTGGGCTGCCCTTACAAGCGTGTGACCTTTTTCTTGGGATTTCCTTTTTGAAAAAATTAAGAGGAGTTGACTTGGGTAGTTGCTTCTTGGAATTTTGTGTTTTATGATCAATGATACAGATTAGCTCTTAAATTATGGGTAGTAGTATGATTTAGTACATGCTACCAACCAGTAGTTAGCAGTAAGTAATTAGTCATTATAGATAAAGTTATCTATGATTAACAAACATAATCACAACTAATCACATTTTAATATGTGTTCGTCTAGGAACTCAATTTGCTAAACTATATATGATTTTGTAGAAAAACATAAATCATAATCAGAGGCGGACCTAGGATTCGACGGTCGCGGGGCACCATGACATTCAATATAAATTTATCACCGCTCATAAAGATTGGTATGTGGGTTTATGCTAATTTGCAAGTCTATATGCAGATTTTGTCGAAGTTTTCATGTGTCCGTGACCCCTCAACCGATAATGTGCGTCCGCCTCTCATCACAATTGGAGGTTGCTCCAATATTTGAATTGCATATTTTTTTCAAACTGTTTTCCCCGTCGTGGTGGTGCTCATGTCAATTCATGTGTCTCGACTTTCACCCGATAGCTCCACTAACACATATGTCAAGTAATTCAATTCACCAAAATTTAGATAGATATGAGAAGAAATTATCCCGTGTTAAATATTTAGCAATTTTCCACAAGATGTGTGTATACTTACATACACTTTGGACCAATAGTACAAATTTTGAATTACCCTGAAGTCAATATTTCTTCTTCGTTTCTGTTACATATATTCAAGGATCGAAATAAAAATATTATTAATATCTGATAGTGCGAAAAGAAGGCCCGGCTCCAAGTTGTTCAAGGATAGTGGCGTTGAGTTTCTCGACCCTTTGACTTAGAATTAATCAGTTCTATTTCTCGATGGGGGTGGAAATGGATATAACTCAGTGGTAGAGTGTCACCTTGACGTGGTGGAAGTCATCAGTGTCTGAAATAGTATTCTGCCCAAGATGTTCTAAACGTGAGAGCTTTGTCTATTATATATACAGAGTACAATGTATCAAGTCAACAAGGACTCTACCTAGAGTACAAGGTTATGTAAACAAGGCTCTTTAGAATACAAAGTGTAAGACTAAATGAATTCTACCTATTCTATATGCACTAATAAACCCCCTCAATCTGAACTGGCGGAAGTAACAGACAGATTGTCCCAAAGAAAACAAAAGCGAGATGAAGGCAGGACCTTTGTAAAGATATCTGCTAACTGCAAATGTGTTGGAACATATTGAACTATAAGATCTCCTTGTGCAACCTTATCATGCACAAAATGAAAATCAACATCAATATGTTTCGAGCGATCATGAAAAGCTGGATTACGGGTCATGTAAGTTGAACTGATGTTGTCACACAATACACGAATTGGTTCATGAAGAAAGATACCAAGCTCACAAAGAATGTGACGAATCCAACAAGTCTTAGCAACAGTGTATGCAATAGCTCGGTACTCAGCCTCTGTAGACGATTTTGAAACTGTTGGTTGCTTCTTTGCACGCCAAAAGATAAGATTAGATCCTAGAAACACAGCAAAACCTGAAGTAGAACGACGACTATCTGGACAACCAGCCCAATCAGCATCCGAGTAGGCAATAACAATGGAAGTCAGACATAGGGCACGCAAAGTCAGACCATAAGTCAGAGTCCCCTGCAAGTACCTGAAAATACGCTTGACACAATGCATGTGAGTGGTACGGGGAGCATGCATAAATTGAGAGACAACATTTACAACATAGGCAATATCCGGACGAGTCATAGTCAAATATTGAAAAGCACCAACCATGCTCCTGTATTCACTAGGATCTGAAAGTAACTCACCGTCCATCAGAGAAATAGAAGTGCGAGAAGCAATGGGAGTACGAACTGGTTTGCATGTGTGCATATGAAATTTAAGGAACAAATCAGAAATGTACTTTTGCTGAGACAAGTGAAGACTATGAGATGTACGAACTGCTTGAATACCAAGAAAATAATGGAGATTGCCTAAGTCCTTCATAGCAAACTGATGGGATAGACGAGAAATAAATTGATCAAGAAGGCCATAATGACTACCCGTGAGAATGATATCATCGACATAAAGTAATAGAATAAGGACATGAGAAGAAGAATGTCACGACTCGAATTCCATTGTAGGTCGTGATGGCGCCCGACACCGTTGTCAGGCAAGTCAACCCTAATTCAACTAATGGGTTCTCATTATTTTACCAAAACAACCCCAACATTTTCTTAACAGTTAAGCTTTTAAACAGTCAATAATTAACAAGTTCGTAATAATATAAATACATACCAAAATAATAGTCTACAGTGTGTGTCAGGAACTAGTGTCACAAGTACTAGGGAAACTAGTAGAATGTACAAAAATACCACTATCCTACTGCCTGAAACAGAAAAGACAGTACATAACAACAACAAAAGAAGAGAGCTCCGGTATGCTGCTGAACGGCTCAGGAGGGGCAGCTCACCGTGAGATCTCGATCAGGAATCAGGAACGCGCGCCGGAGGGGTAACTAGATACACCTGCCTCAGATGCTGTACAGTTAAGTACAGAAGTGTAGTATGAGTACATAAACAACAAGTACCCAGCAAGTATCCAGTCTAACCTCGAAGAAGTAGTGACGAGGGGTCGACTTGACACTTACTAAGGTCAATATCAATAATATTTAAGGTTTACGCTAAGCATGGATAGCACGAATATAATGACAGTCTCAAAGCAACGAGAAATAATATATCAATTTCAGTCATGTCATATAATAATTTGCATTTCAAAGCATTTAAACAGAGTAAATCATGGATAAATTCCACACAAATAACATGCACACATTATGCCGAGGTCGTACGGTCCGGTCCAAAATAATGATAACTGTGCACTGCCAGAGGGTCGAATGGCGCGAACCATAGATGCATCTATTTCTACCGAGGCGATCGGCCCGATCCACAAATAGCAATTATTATCAAGAAGGCACACATTGCTCATTTATAGTCAATCAAATTCATATAATTTCTCAAGTAGGTACGTACATTCGTTTATATTTATTTACAATCCCTAACATGTCCTAAGTGATCTTAGTAGCAAGCAAGAACGTAAGCCTTTGCATGTATGGCATGATACGGGTCCTAAATTACCTGGACAATTAGCATAATAGTAGCTACGCACAGACTCTCGTCACCACGTACGTACGTAGCCCCCACAGATAATCACATACGTTCATTTAATTCACCTAGGGTTTATTTCCCTCTTACGAGGTTAGAAAGGAGACTCATCTTGCCCCAAAGCTTACTTCCAATTTCAAGAACGCGCTCAAACCCTCTTCGGAGCTGAACGATCCAAAACTATTCAAACGGGGTAAGAACTAGTCAATACAAGCTCAAGAGTTCATATTCTAACTATTAAAGTATTTTCCCAACCCTAAATACAAGTTTCCTAAAATTCATCCCCGGGCCCATGTGCCCGGATTCCGAAAATTATCGAGGAAAGTTGTTACCCATAACCAAAGGATCAAGAATATATGATTTTTACTTCATTCCATAACAAATTTTGTTGTTAAATCTTATTTTTATCAAAACCCTAGGTTTTACTCTAAACCCACAATTTTCACTAATTTACATGGTGAAATTTACTCCTAAACTATGTATTAAACTCACATTATGTAGAAATAACTTACCTCACAATGCTAGACTGAAATCCCCTCTCTGGAAGCTCCCAAATCGCCCAAGAAATGAATGAAATGTGTCAAAAATGACACATTTCCTGTATTAAATGAAGGCACTGCCTTCAGCGATTTCCGCACCTGCGGTTAGGGGACCACATCTGCGGTCTCGCTCCTGCGAGGAAAGGTCCGCATCTGTGGAATTTGATCGGGCCGCATCTGCGGTCTGGCGGGTGCATCTGCGATTTCGCTTCTGCGGAAGAGGAGCTGCATCTGCGGTTCTTGGACTCCTCCCCTTGCGCCGCACCTGCGAAGGGTCGACCGCTTCTACCGTCTCGCACCTGCGGTTGGCCAACTGCAGGTGCGATTATGACAGCAACCTGGAGCTTCAGCTCCTTCCAAAATTTCTAACTCAACTCGAGCCTCGTCCAATTGACGCTCGGGGCCCTCGAGGCCCCGCCCGAACATATCGACAAGTTTGAAATCATAAAACGGACTCGCTCGAACCCTCGGAACGCCCTAAACAACGCTAAACCTAAGAATCACCCCCTAAAACCAATTGAATCAAACTTATGAACTTCAAGTTCTTCAATTCTCATCCGATGCAACGAAACACACTTATACTAATCGGATTGACACCAAATTTTGCGTGCAAGTCTTAAATGACAATACGGAACTATTCCCAGTCTCAGAATTCCGTTCGAACCTCGATAACACAAAAACCCTGCTCCAAACCAAATATTTAAGAACTTCAAAATCCTTAAAGAATCAACTTTCACTATTAGGCTCCAAAACGCTCCCGTATCATCCAAAACCTGATCCGGACATATGCCCAAGTCCGAAATCATCATACGAACCCGTTGGGACCTTCAAATCCCGATTCCGAGGTCGTTTAATCAAAACATTGACCGAAGTCAAACTTGGCCTTTTAAGCCAACCTTAAGGAACCAATTGTTCCGATTTCAACCCAAACTCTTCCAAATCCCGAACCCACCATCCCCGCAAGTCATAAGTCAGTAAAAGCAAGTACGGGAAGTCGTATTTAGGGTAACGAGGTTCTAGAAAGCAAAACGACTAGTCGGATCGTTACATTCTCCACCTCTTAAACAAACGTTCGTCCTCGAACGGGTTTTAGATTCATACCTGAAGTGCTAAATAAGCGTGGATATCTGCTCCGCATGTCCTCCTCAGACTCCCAGGTCACCTCCTCGATTGGTTGGCCCCTCCACTGGACCTTTACCGCAGAAATTCTCTTGGATCTCAACCGGTGGATACTGCGGGGGATCCTATCATTGAGGAGCAGGGCGAGGTGCCTGTAGCTGAGCCTACCCCGACGGACTTTATGACAGCACCGGGTTTCCAGGAGGTCATGGGCCGTATGTTGCGGTTCATGGATACCATGACTCAGGCTGGTTTATTTCCAGCAGACCCAGCCACATCTCAGGCGGGAGGGGGAGCACAGACCCCTACTGCTCAGGCTCTTGGTCGTGCAGCTGTAGTGTATCATACTCCGGGTGCACTACCCGCGGATGGGGTTCAGTCAGTTGCCGCAGTGGTACCCGAGCCCAGACCGGCTGCGGACGACGATCCGCAAAAGTTATTGGACATATGGACTAGGCTACACTCTCCTATCTTCGGAGGTGAGCGTCATGAGGATGCACAGGATTTCATTGATAGGTGCAGGGATAGATTGGACAACATGAGGATATTGGAGTCTCATGGGGTTGACTTCACTACTTTCCAACTTGAGGGTAGGGCCCGTAGATGGTGGCAGTCCTATGTTCTTGGCAGGCCAGCGGGTTCTCCTCCCATTACTTGGAGTCAGTTCACATAGCTTTTCCTGGATAGGTATATTCCACCCTCTGAGAGGGAAGAGCTGCGGTATCAGCTTGAGCAGCTTGAGCAGGGTCAGATGTCGGTGAACAGGCGAGATTTTCTGAGTTGTCCCGCCATGCACTGATGATACTTCCTACTGACGCAGAGAGGGTGTGGAGGTTTGTTGCAGGGTTGCATTCTGGTATTAGGGCCAACATGGCCCGAGAGTTGGAGATGGGGACTTCTTATCAGCTAGTAGTGGAGATTGCTTGAAGGATCGAGGGCTACCGTTTGAGAGATAGAGAGCAGACGCAACAGGACAAGAGGGCTCGATTCTCTGGAGAGTTCAAAGGTGCCCCAACTAGGGGCAGAGGTCAGTTTGGGAGGGGTCAGCCCAGCAGGCCTACATATTCAGCACCGCCACCTCCTCGAGGTGCTCCAACGCGCCCCTATTTCAGCGCCATTCCAGAGAGTTCTTGCCGCCCGCCAGCTATCCAGGGTTCTTCCAGTGGGTATTCAGGTCCCCAGGGTTCTTCTGGTTCCTACTTCAGTGCCATACCGGAGAGTTCATACCGCCCACCGGCTATTCAGCCTTCTTCCAGTGGAGACCGTGAGAAGTACGATCTTGTATACCAAGAAAATAATGGAGATTGCCTAAGTCCTTCATAGCAAACTGATGGGATAGACGAGAAATAAATTGATCAAGAAGACCATTATGACTACCTGTGAGAATGATATCATCGACATAAAGTAATAGAATAAGGACATGAGAAGAAGAGCGATAAATAAACAACGAACTATCAAATTTGCTGCAAGCAAAACCATGAGAAATAAGAAATGCACTGAAACGATGAAACCAAGCCCGAGGAGCTTGTTTCAAGCCATAGATGGCTTTGGTTAGCTTGCAAACATGATTAGGATAGTCGGGATAAATAAAACCTGAAGGTTGCTTCATGTATACCTCTTCAGTAAGAACCCCGTGCAAGAATGCATTTTTAACATCTAGCTGGCGAATTTGCCAAGAAAAAGAGACAGCAAGGGAAAGAACAATTCTCACAGTTGTCGCACGAACAACATGGCTAAATGTCTCATGATAATCGATGTCAGGCTTTTGATGAAAACCTTGGGCTACAAGGCGAGCCTTGCATCGCTCAATGGACCCATCTGAATTATATTTTATGCGATATACCCATTTGCAATCGACTAAGTTTATGTTAGGGGTAAAAGGAACAATGATCCAAGTATTATTCTCTAAAAGGGCATTAAATTCATCTTCCATTGCTAGTTGCCACTTTGAATTTTTCACAGCTTGAGAAAAGCAAGAAGGTTCCTGTTCATGAATATTAGCACTCAAAGAAAATTGTTTCTTTGGCTTAGAAATACCAGACTTAGATCGAGTTTGCATTGGATGCTGGGAAGGGGTAGATGGCGAAGTTGAGGAATTAGTAATAGGTTATGAGGTTGACAAAGATGGTGAATAACCTACAGGTAATGACTCGCTAAGGCTAGGTACAGATGAAATAGGCTCTACAGGAGAGATCTAACAACTTGTGGAATCTATAGTTCTAGAGGATAAAGGTTGAGATACATGAGAAGTGTTATGTAAGGATGGAACAGTGGTAGACACAAAAGATTCAAGCTATGGTGGTGGAATCCTACGATTTAGAGGCGACATGACAACAAGAGGATCAGAATTAGAGGATGAAGGGGAGACAACAATAGGAGAACTAGACAACTCAGAATATGGAAAAATTAGTTCATGAAATATAACATGTCGACTGACATATACACGACCAGATTTTGGATCTAAACAACGATATCCCTTATAATCAGATGCATAGCCAAGGAAGACACATCTAACTGAACGAGGTGTAAGCTTATGAGAAACTCGAGTAGACAAATTGGGAAAGCATTCACAACCAAAAACTCGGAGAAAGTTGTAATCTGGAAGTCTATGAAAAAGTTTCTCAAAGGCAGAAAGGTCATGTAAAATAGGCGTAGGTAACCTGTTAATGGTAAAAACAGCATAAAAGGTTGCACCAACCCAAAATTGAAACGGGAGAGTAGCATCTGTTATAATTGTGCGTACCATTTCAATAATGTGTCGATGTTTCCGTTCAACAACCCCATTTTGTTGTGGAGTGTCCGGACACGACTTACGAAAAGAAATGCCAGAATTAGTAAAATGTGAAAGCATGGCCTTGTTGTCAAACTCGCCTCCTCCATCACTTTGAAAATATTTTATCTTAGTGTTAAAACAAATTTTCCACCAGCTTTTGAAAGGCACAAAAATGAGTAAAAACTTCTGATTTATTTTTCATTGCATAAAGCCATGTAAATCGAGAAAAATCATCAACAAAAATAACATAATATTGAAAGCCCAAATTGGATAAAATGGGTGATTGCCAAACATCTGAGTGAATAATATCCAAAGAAAAAGAACTACAATGTTCCACTTGATTGAATGATAAACGATGAGACTTTCCTAGACGACAAGAGACACATTCATTACTAAACGAATTTGACAAACTAATAGCATTATTGTTTTTAAGAGTAGCTAAAACACGAGCACCACTGTGTCCCAAGCGACAATGCCATGTATCACCAGACTGACGAAAAGCAACGTAAGCTTGAGGAGAAGAAAACCCGGACCAAGGATATAAAGGATATACATCGTCCTCACTAGAAGCTTGAAGGAGAGTTTGACCCGAGGCTTTGTCCTTAACAATAACAGAAGATGAGTCAAAATTAACAGCACAATCATTATCCTTACATAATCTTTTGACAGAAAGTAAATTATGGCGGGGATGGGGAATATGAAATATGGATTTCAAATGCAGGGAACGAGATGGAGTGGGTAACTGAGGGTAGCCAATATTTTCAATTTTAAGCAAAGATTCATTCCCAACCAAGACATGATCAGAACCATTGTAAACAGATTTATGCATAAAATTACCTTCAGATGGAGTCATGTGAGCGGAAGCAGCTGAGACTAAATACCAAGTAGCATCATTTGTTTCACCAACCGACATAGCAGCGAAAGACTAAGGCAGATCGTTAGCAACAAATGCATGGTCAAAACGATTATTACACTGAAGAGCAGAATGACCAGGATTTCCACAAATTTGACAAATAGTTGGAGAAGGTGGAGGACCTAAAACTCCAATGGACGATGAAGGTGCACTAAAAGATGGTGAAATATAAGGAACAGTCGGAGCGCTACCAATACATGACGATGATTGTCCAGGGAAACCACTGCGAGTAAAAGTGTTGCCAGAAGATGTCTGATGTTGTTTACCCCGACTATAGGAGACTCGACCTCTACCGACGCGGCCTCGACCTCTAGAAGTGAAAGAACGACCCCTGCCACGACCTCCTGGAGAAGCAGATTGAATACCCGAGACATTTGAGGGATTTGAGGTCACATTTTGAGCAGCAAACACTTGATGAGTGACAATTGTATCTATATCCTTGAAACGCTTCAACCGTTGTTCATGGAGTAGAAGCTTCGTTATGAGTTCTTCAAGCGACAATGAACCAGGAAAGTGTGTAATAATCCCAACCAAAGTGTCATATTCCTTGCCCAATCGAAGAAGCACATGATCAATAAAATCTTGAGAAGAGACAGGAGAATTTATCGCCGCAAGAGAGTCAGCAATCTGCTTGGCCTCGCGAAGATACTGATCAATTGACATGGAGTCATTTTTGCGCATAGTTGTAAGTTGTCTCTTTAGTTCAACAGATTTTGCTTGACTGGCATCCATGTAGCAACGTTGTAGAGAATTTCAGATATCACGTGAAGTAGGCAGTAAATGAACATCCATGAAAACTTCTCGAGAAAGCATCGCAAACAACCAAGAACGAACACTTTGATCAACTCTAACCCATGATCTATAAAGAGGATTAGGTTGTTGAGTTCCGGATGCATCATAGATAAAGAGATGTGGTGGAGGAATTGAGCCATCAACAAATCTAAGAAGTTCACGTGAGAGCAGGAGAGATTGAAATTGAGTACGCTATGTGAGGTGGTCTTCAACAGAGGCAAGCTTTATAGTCACCAGATTTGTGACGTTTAGTGCAGCAACAGCGGCGACGGAATTGTACTGTGAGAGAGATGTTGGGTCCAAAGATCCAGTAAATGGCAATTGAAAAGATAAACCAAGACTACTAACTAATGAACCAGGTAAAGTGTTAAGAGAGGAAGATTGATCTGGGAGAGAGGTTTGCACCGAGGAAATTGAATAAGAGATAGGAGGAAGGGAGAATGGTGGAAGTGTTTGAGAGAGAGGAGGAATTATGGAAGCTCCAGTGGCTGAAGTTGCAGATAAATTAGAAGGAATAATAGGATCTGTTGGAGAAGAAACAGGCGCTGAAGATGTTTCCGTGGTGGATGTCACCATATTTGATTGCGAAGAACTTTTGTGAAATAGGTTTGGCTGATAATGGCTATCTGATACCATGTGAGAAATAGTATTCTTCCCAAGATGCTCTAAAAGTGAGAGCTTTGTCTATTATATATAGAGTACAATGTATCAAGTCAACAAGGACTCTACCTAGAGTACAAGGTTATGTAAACAAGGACTCTTTAGAATACAAATTATAAGACTAAATGAATTCTACCTATTCTATAAGCACTAATAAACAGTTCAAGCCTGATTATCCCTAAGTTCAATGTGAGTTTTTCTAGTTGGATTTGCTCCCCCGCCGTGATTCAATAAATGGATAAGAGGCTAGAACACGTTCAATTTAATAAAAAAAGAAATCTTTTTTCCGATTTATTTTTTTTCTTACGATACGATATTCAACTCTTTAATAAGTACTTAAATAATTTCATAGTACTTTGATATGAAGAATGATGTGTTTTGGTAATATTTGGCTCCACATGGACAATAACACATTACAAATATAAAAAATGAGAGCAGCATGGCAATTGTGGCAGGCAACATGATTCAATTTTTACATATTTTGTAGCCAGGAATCACATTTACAACTACCAAGCTTGCAATATGAGTAAAGTAGCTAGGGTCAGCTTAACCAACAACCAACTAACTATTGTTTTCAACTAAAGCAAAATGCTTTCTTTCTCATTATAGTCTGAATCAACTCCCAATGTTTATAGTACAATGAAATTAAAAAAGAAACTTCAAATTCAATAAATTTTTCTTGTTTTCTGAATCTTACAGATCTTTCTGGATGTCTAAAAAAAGGTACAAAAGCAAAAGTGAACACTGGAATAATAATTCTGTAAATTAATCTCTCTATACATGTGAAACCCTGAAAAATTGTGCTTTACAAAAAATTTGGAGAAAACCGACGTGACTATATCAAATATTAAATCAATAATAAAAAGTGAATTAAAGAAAAGATAAAAAAGGCCATTTTTGTGTCTAAGTAAGAAAATCTTGATGAGTCTCCCGTCATAAAATCCGGCAGCCATGAACTGCCAAAGGGAAATGGATCCTCCGGCGGACTGGAACCCGAACCGGATCCGCCATCTGTTCCGGTGGCCGGTTGGCCGTTTCCGGTGCCGCTCAAAGACATTGAAGAATCTCGTGAAGATTTCTGACTGCAAGCAAATATAAAAATTTTATGAGATTCACGTAATTCTTAATTTGAACGACTTATACAGTAATAATTCATACAATCGCTTTTAACTTTTATTTTTATTTTTATATTGTGGCATAGTTGTTATGTATGAGTTTTAAGTCATCGACATGCAATATTAACTTAGTTTGACATTTATTTATAAATTTGTTTTTGGAACCCCAGGAAAACCCGTAGCCGCTACATGCTCTGCCCTTCGGATGAGCACTCTATGGTGAGCATACCGTGGGCACTGGGTAAACCTCCACTGTATAATAGTCTGCAAACTAGATAGGGGATGTAAATCGCACTAGACAAGCCATCTGTATGAATTACCGTCCTCCAAACCAACTGGGCCGTCCCCGAAGGGAATTCATCTACAAATTCTTTGTAACATATTTTAATACTTATTTTAATATGTTGCAATATTTACTTTAATATCAAATGGTCATATGACATCTAAAACTTTATACAAAAGCTTCCAAGAAAATTACGTCGATTGATGTGATGTAATTACTAACAAGTTTATCCGGTGAAAAGAATAAAGTGCAAATGGACCTATGAGAAAAAAAATTAAATTAAAAGAAGATACTATTCATTTGTTCTACGGAAGAAAAAGGTGAAAAAAAGAGATATTCAAGATAAGATTACAGAACGAAGCCACTTAAAGATTCTCTATATATAGTAGCCAACTAATGCTACTGTCATTTTTTAATGCTCTTAATAATATTTTATACTTAATTAAAAGTAGCAAGTCATCTAACAACCACGAAAAACACTAATCACCTATCTTTAGATTTCTTCCTCTATATCTTTTTTAAAAGTTTCTTGTTATATTTGTTTCTAAATTTTATATAGTTTAAAATTTATAAGTAGAAGATGGTATTTTTTTTTTGGATGGTTTAACACGACTAACATACCACGCCGTACTCAATAGAATAATGGACACTGACTACAATTTGAATTGTCTCTCCAACACTGTTTTACACTTTATCAAGACGAAAATGAAAAGTTATTAATCGCAATTAAAAAGATGTCACCTAATTAAAATTCGTGACACTTCGATTCGAATTGTAATATCTCAATCACTAAGATGCTATAGAAAAAAATACTCCGTAATATCTAATCAGCCTTGTACTGCATTGAGCTAAAAGCTAGCTAGAAAAGGAAAAAAAGGTATTTCCAATTACGAAAAGCTATTTTATTCAGCAGAACACGTCATTATTACATACTTTTTGTTATTTACGAGTAAATCAACGGACAACGACAAAGATAAAAAAGAGATGATCAAAAGTAGAGAATAAGATTTCAATAAGCAAATGGAAAAATGATATTATAAAGCCGCTATAAAAATAATAGCTGAAAAATGTATAAATATAATATATATATATATATTCGGTATATTATATATAAAAACTATACAATTTTTTTTATATTTTTCGGCTACCAAATGTAAATAGTTTCTAATTGAGCTAAAAGTAATAATACCTCTAAGAATATTAGGACAGAAAACAAATGTATTGAAAAAATAATTAAATGAATAAAAAACCTTACCTTGTTAATGAAGGGCAGAATGTAATCGTATAATCAGCTCCTGTACATGTAAAAGTACTCGTAGGATCATCATACGCGTAGCTATACGATTTAGGACACGCGTTTTTAAACATCGCTGAATAGCTCGACGGTTTACAGGTGGAAGGTGAAGCATACGCGCCGCTGCAACAATATTCCGGGCTACCAAATGCTTCACATGCACTCTTGCATGCTTGCCCATCCCCGACCCGCAACTCATTCGGGCACATTCGATTCAAATCCTTCACGCAACCCGTCGTATCACATGGACCCGACCCGCCAACTGCTTGGATTGCCATTGGTAAATTGTATCCGTCAACTAAGCTAACATCATAGAAATCTTGCTTCGTACCTGTTGAAAATAAAATTAATTCAATTAATGTATATAGATAAGATATCACATAATTTACTATTAAGCAGACAGTAATTTTCACGTGTTTGGCCCATAATTTTTTTTAGAAAGGACATGTCGAAAATATATGTAATAACTTTTAAATGAGGCGATCACGTACCGGAGAAAATAGTGAACTCTGCAAGGGTGGCCGGAGGAGTTGCTCCGGCGCCATTGCATTCCATTTGGTTTGAGCCACAATCGCCGGTGGCACAATTTCCTTGACCGTTGTTACCGTCAAAATTACAACCGGTTCTGCCCCAGATCCGACCCGACCATTCTTGTGGAGCTTGGAATACCCGTGAATCACCTGGAGCAAGCATGAATCCGGTACTATCCAGTTTTTGGCTACCTACATTGGCTAATATTCCAGGCCATACGTTGTAACCACATCTGTTTATTAAATTAAAACTAGCACCAGAAATGCCTGAGAAAGAATATCAGAATTAGTATCATCAATAATATGATCCTATAAAACGCTTAAAATGATAATAATACATAAGTTTAAAATATTTTACGTACCTCTGTGGGAGCAGACGAAAATGAAGATGATAAAAATGAAGGAAGAAGAAAATCTAGAGTCCATTTGTAGAAAAATGAGTCAGACCTACGTGGATATCTATATTTTTATTTTGTTGTTTTTCTGTAGAGTGCATGCAAATTTATGAGAGAGAGAGAGAGAGAGAGAGAGAAGGGGTTTATGAGATGCTAGTTAAGGCTTTAAATAGAAGAAGAGTGATGTAGGAGTGGAGTTGGGTGTAAATAGTTGTATTCAGGGGCGGATTTAGGGGGCGGATCGCCGAAAAATTACACTATATATATGGCAAAATTTGATTTTTACCTCTATATACTAAGTTTTGAACCCTCTTAACATAACCCAAAAGTGTAGTTTAGCGGTCGAGGGGGTTCAAAACCTTAATAAGGTCATAGGTTCAACTCCCACTAGCTACAAAAATTATTTTTTGAACCCCATTCGTAAAGATCCTGCCTCCGCCACTGATTGTATTACTGTTAATTTTTGATAAAATAAACAAGTAGTGATCAACTTTTGTGTGCTTCCTTTTAGTTTTTTGAAGATAAAAGAGAAAAAGAACGAGGCATTCGCTTGTGTGAACGAGAATGAGAAAGAGAAAGAAAACTGTATACAAATTGAAAGAGCGAAAGATAGGAATATATATAAACGCAATTTTGTTTTTTCCACTTCTATATAATGCAAAAATTACCTAACAAATACTAAGACTGATGTTTACCAAATATAGTAGATGCCAATGCACCTAATATCAGCTTAGAAGGAACCACAATACTTAGTATGCCTTAATTTCAAATAAAAAAAATTAAACCTTATAAGATTACTATATTTTTATTACTAGAAATTCATCACTCACTACGGGTTGAAATCACATATCTTTATTTTACAAAATGTAAAAAGAATCGAGTTTATGTCATCTTTTCTCGAATTTGATATGTACATGGCACTATTAAGATAGTACTCGTTTAATACTCTTTTGTTCTTACTCCTTCCGGTTCACTTTAATTACAATTTTTTTTTTGTCTTTTTTTGTAATCCACGATATTTAATTTTTTCAATTATCAAAAAGGAATTAATTTTTTTTTCCCAAAGTTGTCCTTAGAGTAAATAGTCTAAAAGCATTTGTTATGTTTTCAATTAATAAATTAAAGTTAATACGGTCAATTTTATTGTTAATTAATGCTAAAAGATAAATTTCTTAATATGTATGAAAACAACCAAAAAATTAATTAAAGTGGACCAGATGGATTAATAAATTTCAATAAAAAATCACACTCTTTCTTGGTAAAAGTATTAACATTCTATATTTATTGGCTTCAAATCTAGAATTTATCTCTGAAATTTGTGTTAATTAAAGGTCGGATATTTAAAAGAAGAATTAACCCAAATATATAGCCGTTTACTTAACCGTTTAAACTAAAAATAGTCGGTAGATGTATAATATATATATATATATATATATATATATATATATATAATTAATATATAAACTATATATATGACTTAAAAAAATGAATAATAAATATGACCAGCTATTTGTATATAGATCCTTATTTAAAATCTATACTTAAGATATTTGTTCAGCTTGTCCAACTTTAAGTAAAGTTGTTAGTAGTAACTTTTCTAGCAGGCTAAATCACATTGGTTAATTTCTCACTTTTTGCAAACAAAGCAACGTCAGCAACACGTTGGCAGCCAAAAACAACAAGTTACGAACCAATTTTTTTAGATCATTATCACATGCGACGTAAAGTTTTCTGTAAATGACCACCTTCGTTACGATGGAACAGATGAGATTGTTCTTTCCTTAACTAGAGGTCTCGAGTTCGTGCTCTGGATATAAAAAAAGCCTTGATAAAGAGCGCTTCCTCGAACGGGGCTCTACTAGGCGCAAATCCGAATATAGTCGAGCTCCAATGCGAGGACCGGACAAAGGATCACGAGAAACCCTAAAAAAAAAGTTTTCTCTACATGGATCGAAGCTTTTAGGAGTAAAAGATAAGCTAAAGCTTTCAAAATTTTGTGCTTTAACTTAAAAAGCGCTTTGTGGAAATATAGTTAGTCTTTGTATGAAAATTTTATGTTTTCAGTTAAGAAAAAGATATTATGTTAGTACTATTGAGTGTGCTATGTGCTTAAACAGAACGTCATAATACTTTCGGTAAAATGTGCTTAAATAGAAGGGTAAATAGGAGTTAAAACTTTTATACACTGACAATATAAAATATTATTTGATACTATGTTAGAGAAAAAAACATGTAACTGTCTATTATAAGTCTATTTAGTAATCCGTAAAGGTAAGCGTAGTATATAAGTACTCCCTCCGTTCACTTTTACTTGTCCAGTATTGTTAAAAATAGATTTTCACTTTTACTTGTCACTTTTAGCATATTAAGAGAAGATAATTTCTTTTTTTCTGTTATACCCACAATATTAATTAGTCATTTCAAATCATTTTCTTAAATTCATTAAAAATATGCACTTCATTTATTATTTTTTTAGGGATGTGTAAAGTCCATAGTTGACAAGTAAATGTGAACGGCGGGAGCAAAAATACTCCTCACGGTCCACTTTAATTTATTTTTTGGCCTTTTTTTGTGTTTCACAATATTTGATTTTTTCAGATATCAAGAAGGAATTAACTGCCTAAAAATTTGTCGTATTTCCAATGAATATATTAAGGTTAATATGGTCAATTTTATTGTTAATTAATATTAAAAATAAATTTTTTAATATGTGCGAAAATAGCCAAAAAAAAAAACAGTTAAAGTGATCTTTTAAGTGAGTACTGTCGTAAAGTGGGGGAAAAAAATGGAATCCCTATCATTATATTCATCAAATTCATTCAGTTAAAGAGCACTAAGTACAGATTCCAAGATCCCATTTTTTTTTTTTTTGGTCAAACAATAAAATTTTATTCAACCAAGTATAGTATGTATATCCACTAGTTCTTTTTTTTACTCTAGAACTAGTCCTGAACTTTGCACTAATTACAATTACTCCTCCCCTCTATATATCTACTACACTGCTAGTCTATACTAGACTTGGGTATGAGTTTAACCTATCAAAGTAATCTTTTCCAATTTTTTCTAAACTGTCCTTTCCTATGCAATTGAATGGTAATCTCTCTTAGTCTTGAGATACATTCCTGCTGTTGTTCTTGAAATCTTCTAGCATTGCGTTCACTCCTGACATGATAAACAGTAGCAGCTAATAGCCATCCTAGTACCTCTGCATGAGCTTTGCTGTTGCATTGTTTGGTCGTTAGTCTCGCAATCTCCTCCTCCCAGGTCCCTGCTTGCCTGCTTTCTCCTGTCCAGCGTAAGAAGGAGCTCCACATCTGTCTGGAATAATCACATTCGAAGAACAAATGAGTATGAGTTTCTTCAACATCAGCTCTGCATAATACACAGTTCATAGGAACTTGTATTCCCCATTTAGCCATTCTATCTGCTGTACTGAGTCTCTTTTGAAGTGCAAGCCAAAGTATAAATTGATACTTTGGTACAGAACATGGGATCATGTTGAGGTTTTTCCATATAGCTCTAGGATATTGAGGAAGTAAGTATTTATATGCCTTCTTGATCATGAACTTCCCAGCATGAGTGAGTTGTTGTAATTTGCACACAAATCATTGCTCCCATACCATTTCCTTGCATCAAAGATTTTCCTAACAAGCCAAAATGCTTGCTTAGGTATCTCCATAGTACTGATGCTTCTACCCTTAATATAGAAACTGTGGATCCATTGAACCCAGATGGTATCTTTCTTTGCTGTGATAGCCCAGAGCAATTTTGATATGGCTGCTTTATTCCATGTTTGAAACTCGATTATATTCAAGCCTCCTGCTGATTTTGGCATGCATAATCTCTCCCATGCGACAACTGTTCTTCTTGACGTTGCACATTGTCCAGTCCACAAGAATGTTCTACAGGCACTTGCTATTAACTGCAGCACCTTCTTTGGTATCAGGAAAATCTGCGACCAATATGTTTGGATCTCAAACAATACACTCTTAATAAGCTGCACTCTGCCACTATATGACAGAAATTTGGTAGTCCAACATCTGATCCTTGCAATCATTCTTTCCACCAGAGGCATACATTGTTGAACTGTTATTTTTTTGAAGATAAGGGGACACCGAGGTATTTGAAAGGAATCTCTCCCATTGCAAAGTGCATTTCATCATAGATTTGGTTCTGCAACTGTTGATCCACCCCTGTTATATATAGAGAACTTTTTTCCATATTTGCTTTGAGGCCTGAGACTGCAAAGAAGTGTTCAAAAGCCTTCATCATCAACTAAATAGATAATCTATCAGCCCTGCAGCACATTATTAAGTCATCTGCAAAACAAATATGGGTTAGTTTCATTTTCCTGCATCTTGAGTGGTGATTGAAGTTGGGATTTTGGTTCAGCTGTTTTAGGGATCTGTTCAGATACTCCATTGTCAAGACAAATAAGAGTGGTGACATAGCATTTCCTTGACGTAGACCTTTCTTTGCTTGGAATTTAGGGGTGAGTCCTCCGTTGAAGATAATAGAGTAGCTCACAGTCGAAACACACTCCATGATGAGTTTGACAAACTTGGCTGGAATTCTAAACTCTAATAAGACCATTCTCAAAAAGTCCCACTCAACAGTATCATAAGCTTTCCTGATATCTACTTTCACTAGACATCTAGGAGACATTCCTTTTCTGTTGTAACCTTTGACTAGCTCATGTGCTACAATCACATTATCTAAGATATTCCTACCTTCAATAAAAGCTGATTGTGCTGGCCCAACAATTTTATCTACTACTTGCTTAAGTCTGCTAGTGATCACCTTGGCTATCAGTTTGTACAGAGTTGTACAACATGCAATAGGCTTGAACTCCTTGACATGAGTAGGATTTGGGACTTTTGGCACCAATGTAATGGTTGTAATGTTTATCTCCTTAAGTATCTTCCCCTTCTCAAAGAACTGAAGAATAGCTGTTATAACATCATCTCCCACTACATCCCAGTTAGCTTTGAAAAATTCCACAGGAAAGCCATCACCCCAGGGCCTTTGTCAGCTGGTAGATCATTCAGAGCTTGTAGAATTTCTTCCTTAGTCATTGGTTTTATCATCCCCTTCTGCTCCTCCTTATTGAGACAATATCCATCTTTTTCAATGTTGCTGTTCAAACAAGGCAGTTCTGAGCTTTAGTGCCCAGCAGTTCTTGGAAAAAATTACTAAACTCACTTTGAATTTGGCATGTATCAGTCAGCATAATCCCTTGATCATTACATATTGAGGAGATATGGTTCCTTGTTTATCTAGTCTTCATTTGTGCATGGAAATATATTGTATTTGAGTCTCCCTTTGCTAACCATACAGCCCTAAACTTCTGC